GTGAAAAGTAACAGAAATAAATTCTATTTTGGAAAGTCATAAAAATTATAATATGAATAAAATTACAAAACGAAGAATGTAAGGACTCATTCTTTAATTATGGCAGAAGCAGTAACAAAACGAGTTAATATTACTACTATCAGTCATTTGACTATAGCAAAACTACTTTAACTTCAGCGATTACTAAGCATGCTGAAGATATACAGTTTCTTGAATACGGAAAAATTGATAAGGCTCCAGAAGAAAAAACCTGAGAAATTACTATTAATTTAGCTTATGCTCCATATAAGACTAAAAAAAAATTATACTTTAATTGATTGTTCGGGACATGCTGATTATGTAGAAAAATATGATCACTGGAGCTTCCTAAGCCAGCAGAGGTATTTTGCTTATTTCTGCCACTGATGGCATGATGGACCAAACTAAAGAACATTTGCGCTTAGCCAGTCGAATTAGTATTAAGCATTTTATCAATAAAGTAGATGCAATAAAAGATCCTTCTCTCATAGAATTGGTAGAAATAGAAATTTATGACTATTTGACTAAATTTGGATTTGATGAGCAAAAAACTCCTATTATTAAGAGATTAGCTAAATGTGTTTTGGAAGGTACAAAGCCAGAGATTAGGAAAAAAAAGATAAAGGAATTATTATAAGTTATTAATAATTATATTCCTACTCTTAAACGGGCTGAAGACTGGTATAATGAAAATATTTTAGCATTAAAAACTATTTTAAAAAATTGTTTACCTCTTATCCGTTATTTTCAAATCTCTGGTGATGATATTTATGACCAAATTTAACCATATCCACAAATCTTAAAAAAAAAAATCTTTGGAATAATTTAGTTAAAAGATATCAAATCAACTATAGTTCTTCCTCTTGTGTGATTTAACACCAGAATTGCTACATAGATCAACAAAACTATTTTCGAAAGCTATTAATGAAGAATGCAGCTGATATTACTTCATGGATTGATAAAAAAACTGAACTATATCCTAAAATTAATAATCCATATGAATTCAAATTACTACTTCATGGAATCAGAGATAGGTTTACTCATAATTCATTTTGGAATTTATGTAATAAGCAAAAAAATTTGATTATTGTTGCAAAGGTAAATGCACTGATGAAATTCTTAGTGGTTATAATCCAATTGGATGGAATAACACATTCACAGATTTTAAAAACAATGAGAGCTTTATTTTCTCATTGAAAAATGGCGCTGTCCAAACTTCTATTTAAGTCATGCAAAATATAGAAAAGAT